AAAATGATTTTTGATCCCTCTTTATTTTTCAAAAACATGAAAAACGGTAACGAGTGACAACCAGTTCCCGCCCCCTGCCAAGTCAAAGGCATTCACTTACATCCTATTATAGAAACCACGGACAGACAGTAATTTCCATTTTTAAAATACAAACTAAACACTAAGTCCAATTCTTCCCTCCATTTCTAAATACCGTATTATGCCGAGCTAACTAATTCAACAGTAGAAGTGAAGAGGGAATCGAGGAAGAGAGAACTATAACAGAGCTGTCGAAGCATTTCACACCAAAGACTTTTCTTTAGACATACTGCAACGCTTCCCAAACACACGTATTTTATGTCACACCAGCACATCCGTATCAGGACCATTCGTACTTGCTGCAAGCCTTTAAATTACACACCCACACTGCAGGACTGATTGCTAGAACAGAATAAGGACAGCTCTCTCGAAAAGGACAGAAAGAAAGAAAGAAAGAGTGAAAGAACATGATTCTGCTTATGTATTCCCCCTAACTCACTTACAACTTCTCCTCACAGAACCGCTGAGCTACACTTAAATGTAAATTTTTTAAATATAAAGTACACTCGCCATCAGGCTAGTATCCCTTATCGATACCCTTATAGTTTCCTTCTGTATCTATGGCTAATCAGATGGCGATAAAGGATGCGAGAAGAACTGTGCAATGGAGGTTGCAACTTAATATCAAGAAGATTTCCGTAGTTTTTTTGTACATTCACTTTATATTCATTAGATCGCCTGCAAAATATAAGGAGGAATATGTTTCAATTCTTAATATAGAGGGGTGTGGCCAGAAGTGAAACATGCTTTACAGTTTTGACCCCAGGAGAGCAGTGCAGCAGCAGTTTTTTCACTGTTAAATGACCCTTTAAGGAATAAAAAAAATAAAAAGGGAAATCAATGAATGCCTTCAGTTTTACAGGATAAGCTGGTTCTGTGATCAAAATAAGAATGTGCTTATTGAAGTTAGTGGCTTAGCTGTTGGCTTAGGAAGTGTAACACTAATACTATCAAGAAGAGGTCTGTAGTGTAATTTTAAAGACTGAAAACAAGAGGAAAACTGAGGTAGCAATGTAGCTACTGTACATGAGTAAAGAATGTTTCTTCATAAAAAAAGACCCAGCAAGTGCTTTCCAGATGTTGCATTTTCACACCGAGGTTGGGCACTGTAAAGAATGCTGGTGACTAAGAGATAACACTGTAGGTTCACATCACAAGTGGCTGGGCAGTGATTGGGTTAACAGGATGTGGTACTGAGGTATTTTACTGGAGTGATTTTTGAAGCAGTAAACACTGTAAGGAAAAAAAAAAAGTGGACTGAATGGCTCAGTTTTGTCCACACAGCAGTAAACAGGTTGCGTTTCACAGAAGTTACAAGAACAATTATTGAAGATAAACCAGAGTTGTGTTCTACTGACTGGGCTCATCGGGGACATGCACGTCAGAATGGAGTGTCACTTTGTTGACGAGTTGGTTCCATAAAGCAGGCATTGATCTGAACACTGTATATCATGTTTATCTTTACATTGGAACTATACACTAGTCCCTTGTGTTTTGAGGGGTAAAAGGAGGAAGGGAAAGTGTAGGAGAAAGGCACATCCTCTTCATCTGCAGGACAGAAAGTCATCATTTGGAAGTAGTTTACTGTGGTGGAGGACAGAGAAACAAAGGTCAATAGTGCTGTATATTATGTGTCTGTATGAATACATTTAAATTTCTACATCCCTAGAGTGTATTTAAAACTTAGGTTTAGGAATGTAGACATGCTGGCTACGAGTACATTGTGTCCACAGCCTACTCTACTATGGAATAAATAGTCAAAGGCTCAATACCTTAGCTGGAATTACTGCATTTGCATCCTAAGAAGACGCCGTTTACCCTGAATAGCACAGTTTAAAATCCATGTTAGAGTGATTTTTGTCAAAGCCCACAATGCTTAAGACAAGCTGCAGTGAAAAGTTTATACATATTCTTAAGTATCCTGATAATAAAAACTGGTCTCTTTAAGTCTCTCTCAAAATACTGTTACAGTCTACAACCAAGGCTGGAAAATATGAGAAATGTACTCTTGCCAAGTATATACTGATAAACTTCATGGAATCTTTGATCACCCTGAGATCAGTCTAAAAACAGTTATCTAGTACCTCAGAAGCATCGCCATCGTCTGGAGCCGCGATGATCCTACCAGTCATGGGCCCCACTCCCAGCACCATGGGCCGTTTTTCTGCTTTAGGTGTTCCTTCCAGAACCACAACAATGTACTCTCTTTTGGGAGCTTCTGCTGGGGTCTCTGGAGGGGCTACAACCAATTCTTCCACTACAGGGATGGCTATTCCTACAGCGGGGGCTGCTGCAATTTCTTCCACAACTATGGTGGTGACTGGTTCTTCAACTAGAGCTGTGGTATCATCAGGTTCTATTAGTGCAGGGACTTCTTCGGCAACCGGTGCGGCCTCTACTGGTGCGGGGGCTTCCTCGGCAACCGGTTGCGGCTTACTGGTGCGGGGGCTCCTCGGCAAACCGGTGCCGCGGCCGTCTTACTGGGGTGCGGGGGGCTTCCTCGGGCAACCGAGTGCGGCCTTCTACTTTGGGCGGGTTCCTCGGCAAACCGGGTGCGGACTTTACTGGCTGCCGCGGCTTCCTCGGCAACCGGTGCGGCCATCTACTGGCTGCCGGGGCTTCCTCGGGGCAACCGGGTGGCCTCCTACTGGTGCCGGGCTTCCCTCGGGCACGGTGCTGCCTCTACTTGGTCGGGCTTCCTCGGCAACCGGGGTGCGGCCTCTACGCGTGCGGGCGGCTTTCCCTCGGCAACCGTGTTCAGAGCCTTCGGAACCGGTGCGGCCCCTTCTACTGGTGCGGGGGGCTTCCTCGGCCAACCGCGTTTTCGGCCTCGGGGCAACCGGTGCGGCTCTACTGCGGTGCTTCCTCGCCACCGGCGTGGCCTCTACTGGGTGCGGGGCTTCTCGGCAACCGGTGCGGCTGCTACTGGTGCGGGGGCTTTCCTCGGCGCAACCGGTGCGGCCTCTACTGGTGCGGGGGGCTTCCTCGGCAACCGGGTGCGGCTCTTACTGGTGCGGGGGGGCTTCCTCGGGCAACCGGTGGCGCCTTTTACTGTGCCGTGCCCGGGGCTTCCTCGGCAACCGGGTGCGGCCTCTACTGGTGGCCGGCGGCTTCCTCGGCCAACCGCCGTGCTGGCCTTCTACTTGGTGCGGGCTTCCTCGGCAACCGGTTCAAGGGCCTCGGGCAACCGGTGCGGCCTTACTGGTGCGGGGGGCTTCCTCGGCAACCGGGCTGGAGCCTTACTGGTGCGGGGGCTTCCTCGGCAACCGGTGCCGGGGACTTCCCGGAACCGGTGCGCCTTACTTGATGCCGGGGGGCCTTCCTCGGCAACCGGTGTGGCCTCTACTATACGGGGCTTCCTTTGCAACCGGTGCCGGCCCTCTACGATGCCGGGGGCTTCCTCGGGCTACTTTGGTGCAACCTCAACTGGTGCAATTTCTTCAACGGGCTTTGCCTGTACTGGTACCAGGGACTCTTCAACAGCAGGTGCCAACTCTTCCTTTACGTCAGCTATCTTCGGTACCTCTAGAGTAGAGGCAGCTGCCAGCAGCACTGAAACACAAAATTCAGCCACCCAAACATCACTGTTGCTGAAGTTATAGTTTCCCACATTTAGCTTATGCAACTTGAAGTACTTAGCCAAAAGTGATTTTTAGGGCATTTGTGAGGATTTAGCGCCAGCAAATCTGTTGGCTTGTGACTACATGCAGATGCAAGATCAACACCCAGTAGTGGAAGAAGTAGTACAACGGGTGGTACAGGAAAGCTGTGTTAGTCAGCTGGAGTATCGATGCAGTGCCACAAATCAACAAAGTTTTATATAAAGATAGGAAATACACACCTTCCCATAGAAATTCAACATAGGCAAAAGCAAACGGCATACGTACTTAATGGGCAGTTTGGTGAGGTTTGGATTCACTGCTTTACTCTCCAAGAAATTAGTAAATCTGTCTAATAGTGGATTTTTTTTTTTATTTTTTTTTTTAATAAAGATATCTTAAATTTGATTATTAAAAATGTGATGTCAAGAAACAGGATATACTGGTTTAAACATTTTATCTTTTAACTTATACAGCATACTTCTATAAAGTATGTGTGAAGACCTAGAACCTTTAAATATCAGAGACTGGGGATTTTTAACAATACATATGGAAAATACTGTAGCTATATAACGCACATATACCCATTAAAAGTATATCACCAAAGCAGAGTTTAATGCAGAAAGCAGTGAGGAAATACTGTGGAGAGCTTGATTAAAATACTCAATAACAAAGAGGCTAAAAATCTAATTGTTAAACTGGAATTGAATTATTTAAAAAAGGCATACTATGCAGGATTTGTCCCGTTTCTGTTAGTAAACTCGGCATTAAAAGTTGGCCCCTCCTCTCCAGCTCGAGGGGGGGGCCACAGAGAGCACCTTTGGTTGAGTTACATAGAGAATAAATAAGAAGAGGGAGTGACGTTAGTAGCAGTTAGCAGTAAATCAGAAATAAAACAGCAGTTTCAGAGGGATTACGTTCTAAATCACAAATAAATATGGCCACTCCTCTGCACAACCCTGCAGGAAGGTGCCATATAATTTTGATTTTGTGTGAATGCAGCTAGACACTGACACACAGACTTGCAGTTTGTTATGCATCCATAACACAGACAGGTACCAGAGGAGAGAGATAGACGACTCTTTATAGAACCCCTACCTCACACCCAAAGGTGGACGCACAGAGACATCCTGCACACAGTAAAATAAGAAAATACAGGCAAGGGCTACAGGGTCTCTGCAGATATAGACACTTCTAGTGGGTGATAAGTGATGATTGTGAGGGAATATGTTTGTATGAGTCTATACATTGTTTTTATTTCTTTTGTTTTAAAAGGAAAATCTATTATATTATAGCTCTAATAGAAATGACCTTAAAAAAGACCAATTCAGACAAATTAAAGACGGCAGTAAACCTTTCCGGTTTGATAAAAGCTTTATTGTATGGCTCGATTAATTACCGTAAACTGTTCACAGTGCTCATTATCCAGTTATAAGCAAAATATATATGATCACATATGATTTGAGTCACTCGGCAACCTAATTACTTCTTTGACAGTTTCACATTACATTTAAGGAAATTAGCACACTGCAGCAGTTACAGAGTTTGTACACATCTCATCTTGCTGTAGGATATACACAACTGTACGACAGTCTAAGGAGAAATAGGCTTTTACCTGCTCTGTGATGACTGGCAAAGTATTACAACATTACAGAGGTTTAAATCAAACAAATACAGTGTCTTGTCAAATGTCATTATATAACATTAGGGGCTTCATACAAAAAGATACCATTGATAAAGCATTTGAGGGCTGTTGGTTGTTTTCTTGCCACGTCTATTTACTTGCATGTAGTTGGTTGAACCCGATTCTAAGGCTTGTGGTATTTCTTACAGGGAAGGAGCTTTTTAGTACTGTTAACTGAGCCGTATCAGGGCCAATCTACATGAGTGGTGTTTGTATTGAGAGTGATCACATTTATTTCACCCATAACTGCAAATGAGCGTCACGTAAAGACCTCACTGCCACTTTGGAAATGTCTCGCTGTGGTGTGCAGCTGTAAATCAAGAGGAACCTGCGGAGAAATTGGCCTTGCTGGTTTTTAAAATCTCCAGGCCTCATAATAATCTGAACGAATATAGACATACACAGCGATCTAGGCTGCACACCGGAAAAATCAAGTCATCCTTGCGTGAACAAACGCTTAATTTGCACAAAGTGCTCCCCTTTACACGCACTCCAATAAATACAAGAGAAAATATACAGTTTTAGGAAGACAAGAGAGACTGATGGATATAGGTGAACCCAGGCACCTGAGGAGAAGCAGCTAACCTCTAGTGGTTCTAGACGGTGACTATAAGTTACCAGTTGTATTGTTTCCAGTGTCATGTTGAGGAGGAAGACCTGTTGTCAGCGGCTCTTTAATTAAAGTGGTTGAAATATCCCAGTGTGTGTCTGTTGGTGTATGTGTCTCCCTGTAGTGAATGTGTGGAACCTCAGGCCTCAGAGGCCTCCTCCTCAGATGAAGAAGTCGTACCATTGCTTTCAGGCTCCTCTGCAGCGACGGTGGCTGGTTCCGCGACAGCCTCGGCAGCCTCCTCAACAGCTTCAGCCACTTGGGCCACTTCTTCTGCGACTGCCTCCACTTCCTGCGCAGCCTCAGCAACCTCCTCCGCCACCTCGGCAACCACCTCAGCAGCCTCTGCGACCACCTCGGCGACTGCCTCCACTACAGTCTCTACCTCGCCATCAGCAGCAGCAGCGGGCTCCTCTTCTGCAACCTCTGCCTCTCCACCATCCTCCTCAGCTGCCGCAGCCTCCTCCTCCTCTCCTCCTGGAACACAAGAATCAGAGGAAGAGTATTAACCAGAACTGCTTTGATTCAACACATTGTTGTCCACTACAGTGAGCAGCCTTTTCACTCTACGACCCCCCACCCACCACCCACTATTTATGGTGCAGCCACTGTGTGTTTTCTACAGACACATGCAGTTTGAAACACTGCAGGTAAGAAGATAATCACTCTTCTCAAATGATGACATTTTAATTGATACTTCAAAAGCAGCATTATGCAAGATCATTCATATATTATCAGTGGCTGGGTTTCCATCTAAAATGTTTTTTCTTTTTAATGCACACTACGCTCAATATATTAGGGATGGCACTTTTTATTGGAAACTAAAAAAAAGGGGCGGCTGTGGTGCAGAGGCAGAGCGGGTCGGCCCCCTAATCAGAAGGTTGTTGGTTCGATCCCCAGGTCCTCCCGCCACATGTCGAAGTATCCTCGAGCAAGATACTGAACCCCAAATTGTTGCATGTGTATGAATGAGTTTCTGTTAGATGGACTTTGCCATCACTGAGTGAATGTGTGTCAAAGGGTGAATGTGGCACGTAGTGTAAAAAGCGGCTTTGAGTGGTGGAAGACTAGAAAGGCGCTATACAAGTCCAAGTCCATTTTACATTCAATGAACATTACAAGGCGGAAAAAAAATTACTATTTTTATCTGGGAATAATCTACTGAATAACTGGAAACTGAATTCTAAATTAAAAGTCTGTCATGGACTTTTCCCCACCTGTTTGCGGCTTTTGTTCATAATTGAAGGTAGAAGGAATATTAGTTACTCCAAATTCTCTGAGTATAGGCGGCAGCCCTCTCAGGATTATCAGTAGTGGGTTCATCCCTAACTTCATGCCAGCACAGAAGACTTTTATCTACATCCACTTACTATGGGGCCCTCATCTTGGTCTGACCTTGTGTATAAATTGAGCGGAGACAGGACAATCTGACAGCTTTTTCTTCAGTAGTTAAATGAACCCAGTTGGGGCGCAGGTTATAGTAATCTGGATACAAATAGGTCATTAATGTTCCGTTTCGTACAGGCTTCGCCCCTGTAAATGGCTAATGCCCCAGGTGGTTGTCCAGTACCGAAAAAAACACCAGCCACTTCCGCTCTGTCTGGGTTCTCTGTGGTATATATGATATTCATTGAAATAGCATAACACCATCCATTTTCAGTCTCTGGTTTTCTGAAGTCCGTCTCAAGATGAGATGGACCAGTTGGGATGGAACCTTAGCTATAACAGCTAGATATTTCTAGCAGGTTGATCCAGAAGTACTATTTAGACCAAGCAACTCCAACCTTACCGCTGCCTCAACTTAAATATGTCATCTAGAAAAAACCCAGAGGCAGCACCAATTACTACACAACTGCATGCAAACCGAAATGACAGAAGGAAACGACAAAGACGAGAGGGAGGGGAGGGTAGGGGAAAGGGCAGGAGGGAGAGGGAGAGGAGTGGTGGGTTACGGTGCAAGTAGAGGGAGCGTGAAGATGCAAATCCTCGGTTCTTACCATCCAATTAACAAGCTATCAGTTATCTGGACTCTGAAAGTGTTCCGAAGTGGACAGATCACCGAGACATGCCAGGTTAGGTTGTGCGTCTTTTAACTTTTTAACTGAGATTACCGCAACCATTTGGTTCTACATTACAGGATACACCGAGTTTGGGAGATTGGCTCAGGGTACCAACTACTATTCGGCTACTGGGCAGTATAATAGCCCGCCAGCAGTTACATTTCATGATAATGGCTAAATTAACCTTTAGCATACATTAAGCTTCTGTTGAGGCCTGTGGTTACAATGTGGAAAACACCCTTGCTAGTTTCAGTAAACATTTCAGATTTTTGTAGCATTCAAAACCAGTAGTGGTGTTTGAAAAAATGATGTAGCACATTGTTAAGAGAAAACATTGTCAACAATTGGATTGTGGAATACTTCTGGATCAAGTCCATTTATCTTCTTCACAGTTTACCATTAACATTAGCAGCGAGAGGCAAACAAAATGATAGAAAGGAGCACTGATTCAGCATCCTTCAGAGATTTGTCAGGAGGTTATAAGCCGAGTGGAGGACTCGTTTTCTTTCTTAGCAGACAGGGAGAGGAAGGTAAGAGGAGGAGGAAGATTAGGGTTTGTTTATT